TCTAAAAACTCAAAATAATACAACTTACTTTAAATACAGGATTAAAAATTTCTATAAGAATAGAATGCTAATTTAGAAGGTAGTGTTCTTCGTACATGGTTGTAAAAAAACTAAAAAAAGTTTTAAAAATTTGAGGGAGAATATCTGAAATCTTTCAGATTTTATATTTACACACACATATACGTTTCGAGAGCATCTGGGCGAATGTCTCTTTGGGCTAAAATGATTTAAAAACAGCATAGCTTTACAATTTTGGATAGACAATCTCGCACGCTGGAGCTAAATTTTTTTTTTTTTTTTGGTACAGTGTTGCTACTGCTCGCTTTGAATTATGGAATTTGTTAATCGGAAATTCGTTAAAGTTTAACAATATATGAAATAGACAATAAAACAAATTTTGAAATGCCAGTTAGGGTTTCCAGAGGCTCATATTCGGACTACGTTATTCAAAATTTGATGGCTCTGGATACCGTCACAAAGAGAGATACACACATTCATGCAGATTCTGCATTATTTCATTTCTTTAAATATAATACAGGGTGATAATATTGTGTGGCAACAATTTAAAAAGTGATACAGCCTTTTAAAAGTGATACAGCAAAATCTTGTTTCGAGACTAATAGCCCTTCTGTGCTAACACCCCTTTCTGCTAATGAATTATCTTTATTTTGGTTTCATGTAAAATACTTCTCGGCTGTGTACGCATAAACCAAAATTTAAATATAAGTCATGATATTGCTCACGTAATTGAAAAAAGTATAAATATGAAACATTATCTAATGACAATTATTCTTAATTTCTATTAACAAGCTGGAACAGGGATAAGCAAATGGCACACCAGGACGTTACCATATGTTGATAGAGGTACTGGTCACGTGATGCTATTGATTCCATGAAACATCCAAAAGCGGCTTCCTACTATCCTTCTAAAATATTTTCATATAGTAATCATTTTGAAGGGTACACATAGTAAGATAAAAATTAGTTCCGCAATAGTTATTGCCCCCATATGTCTTGATCTTGTTCTGAAAGGCACTTCAGAACAAGGCCAAGACTTGTACTTCAATACTAATAATAATATAATGGAGCGCATAGCATTTATAAAATATGTTGGACATTCGAGTTCCTTCGTAGTTGGTCTAATGTTGTGATGTGCTTGTAGTAATGAACATGAAAAGAGGTGTTGCTGTTCCGCGCAAACGCTTCTTCTCCTTTCACCCCAAACATAGTTGTCTTTACCTTCATAGGAACAGTAGGTGGTGAAGGCGTCTTGTCCATGTACCAGTTGATTTAAACTTAGGTTAATGAAACATTTTATTCCGTTATTATAATTAATTAATTCATAAGTTCTTCTGACCTGAGTATCAGATTTTCATTTCTTCTTATTTTTTGACTGTTTCAATTTTTACATATGCTTTGGACATTGCTTACAACTTCGGAATTGGGTTTAATACCTGCTTTTTAGGGAGGTTATGGGTGTCTTTGTATCTAGCATTCCAGGCATATTCTTTCACGCATCCAGCAAATTTTAAGTTGGCTAATAAAATTATATGGAATTAGCATATATGTAATTTGTTTATAATCGACTAATTTTCTTCTTCAGAAAGATGGTATTCGGCAATTATCTCCAATAATTAACTCATCAACAGACATTTTAACTTTGATATTAAGATTTATAAGCTGTCTGAAGATTCTATTATTTTTTCTGTAACTCCTACTAATATCTCAGAAATTTTTCTCGTTATAAATATGTTTGCTTGTTTTCTTAATAACTTGTACCTGCATTCATCTGAGACATATTTTCTCGAATATGTGAGCCATATTTTCTCCTTTACATAAATGAATATTTATTATTTATGTTTAAATATTTAATGCATTTTTCTCATACTATTAATTCATGAAGTTCCATTTAAACTGCTTATTATCGTCGGGAAATAAATAAAGATAATCTAAACAGCTCTCCTTTGTTCTCATGCCTTAACTGTAAACAATGTATTGCAGAAATATCATTAATATAAACATCTATGGAAAAGAAATTTTCAAATGAAAACATAGTAAAATTCCATAAATTGCATTTCTTCCTGAAAATATTCCTTATTATTCAAGTTTTGATATCCTGACAGTTTTAAAGTTTTAAATCTTGTGTAATAAAAAAACGCCAATTGCGTTTGGCAAAAAAAAAAAAAAAAAAAAAAAAAAACTAAAATTCTCAAAAAAGACAACTAAGACATTTGCAGAAATATTATCTTGGCTGCTCACTTTATTGATTCACTTTTCATTGTCTACTCTCATTCTATGAGTGAAAGTTTTATAATATTCGCAGTCGTACTTACCAAATCAGAAAATTCATTGAGTCCTTTTCTGTATTTGTGAATTCCAAGATCGAATTCCAGATTGTGTTTCACGATGTCATTGACATGACCTTCAAAGATGAGTCGTCTTGCTCCTTCCTCGAATCCACTGTATTGCTTTTGAAATGTTCTCTAAAAAAATTAATTTTATATTAAAACAGTGGTTCTCATCTTTTATTACATCCTCCTTTCTCACATGTCACATGTCAGGGAAGATAATATACTTCAATGTTTATACTATACTTCAGTAACATATGCCAACTAATGCATAAACTTAATTAAATTTGGCTTTTAGTGCCTGATAAAAAAAATATTATAAAAACGGTTTTTCTATTTAATAAAATATATTGTTATTTATATATAACTTATTATTGCATATAATAAATGTAAATAAAGAAACATATCTACTGATTTTGCTGCTCTTATGTAATACATATATTTAACGTTTTCAATCCGTTTAGGTCACGTGACCATAACACTCTCGCCTTAGATGCTCTTTATCGAAAGCATTTTCTACAATTCGAGATTACCAGTCAGACATGGGAAAATCTTTTCCATGAGAAATGAAGTTCTTCTTTAAAGGGAAATTTGCACCGGTTGTCTGATTTGGTTTGCTTAAGTTTATTTCGGCAAAGCACATTAGTGCTATTTGCCTAAGAAAAAGGATGACTTCGTGGAGGACGTTCCAAAAGAAAACGTCTCGCATACACGTTGACCATGGGGGGGATAACCACGAAAATGGCCATGCAGCCGGCCCGTTCGCCTGGATTCAAACCCAAGTCGAAACTACCAGTGTTCAGCGACTTTACCGCTCGTCAGCCGCCGCAACGGTTGAAAATCCTTGTATTAAAACTCATCATCCATGCTAATTAAAATAATATTTTTAATAACGAAGATTTTAATTTTCCCTACTTTTTAAGTAGGATTTAACGAATACCTTATTATTTATAATCGTTGATCTTCCACAGAGCCTTTTCTTCTGGTAAAGGAAATGCTTTATTCTTATTTATTATTATAAAGCTTCTGTGCGGATTATTTATATAACTGTGTGCAGAGTATTTTAAGAATCATTTAATATTTAATAATACGAATTAGATAAAGAAACACGCGATAAAATTAGTGATAATTCTGAAAATTAAGTTGTAGAGTCCGAATCTTGACCTCTCGAATACGCGTCGAGTACGCTTCCAATTACACCACGAAGGCATGAGGAAAGAAGGGAGAAAATACCTTATACACACCTAATCTTAAAGGGCGACTGGGGATTAGGGGATGCAATCGCCAAATCCTGATGGTGACGAATTATCGTCCACCAATTTTTAGTTCGGAGGTCACTCGTAGTTTTTATTTATTTATTTATTTATTTATTTTTTAAGTTTTTTTGAAATCAAAGCATTTCAGTAAATATCCTATCCAAACTTCATATATAAACGCTATTTACCTTAAAGTTTTCCCAGTGAACATCCAGATCTGGGTCAAATATTGTAGCTGCATTCCCAGAGTGAAGAACAACGATGGCAAGAACAGCAAAGTAAGAAACTGGCACTGTCATCTGAAAATGTTAAAGTGTTGTAAAACTTGTAAATTAAGTAAAATTTCTAAAATTGTGTAAACATTATATGTGGCATGTCAAGGAATATATTTCTTTCACTTGATACTGGATGAAAATTACGGTAATGATAATTTTCTTTCATAGATACCTCAGTCATTATCGAATGCAGATTTATAGCTTTGATTCTACAAGCAGCAGATTTTAGCAATGATTCTATGAAAATAATTTATTAGTCATATTGCAGAATAACATAAAATATAATTTGGAAATAAGCGCGGAACATGATTGTAAATTTTAATCTTTGAGACAATTAGTTTAAACAGAAAAAGACATAAAGCCATTGAAAAGTATTAAAAGAATTAGGTATTTTTATTATTATTTTGAATTTCAGAAATAATAACTTGACACTGAAATGGCTCAGTAGCTCTTTTCCTCTAAAATTCAACTATTTTTCAACAATAATTTGCACTTTTCCATCGAAAAAAAATATCTATTACTGTTAGCTATTATGCTTCATTATGCTTTACAATGTTATTATGCAAAATGCATGAAAAATACACATGAAGCATACTGTACCTTAACTAACTCTGAATTCTAAAGATAAATTTCAATAAAACTTTAAAGCTTAATTTTATATATGAGTATATTTGAGTGAGCATTGCAGGGTTGTAGGGATTCTTTCTAATGAAGATTTGCATTACTGTGATAAAATTATATGTTATGAAATAATGTGATAAAATTATATGTTATGAAAGTTTTCTTTTTTGTCTAATCATGCTTAAGTCAATTAGTTTGTTAAACAAGAAATAAGTATAATTTCAATTCAAGATGGATTAGATTGCTTGATAGTTTTTTTATATCTTTTAACACTGTTTAAATTTAATTAATGTTATTTATCTTTTTAATCACTTGATTAAGACGTGATTATTCAGATAATTTAAAATTGAGTTCTATTTGTTAACTAGGTTAAATTCGAATTTGAAGACATGATTCTCTTAACTTTGGAGTAATAGATATTCATTATTTTGAATTCAGTGAAATCAGCAGCGTTTCTTTTATTAAGATTTCCAGAATAACGCATGCCTTTTACATTTTAGATCAGAATGGAGGACAATGGACCTCCACATCAGAGAACGAGAAAAAAGAATATTGCGTCTAATTAGAGGTAAAATTAGATAGCGGTAAACTTTCACTTTTAAAATGCATTTACGATAAAAAAAAAAAAAAAAAAAAAGAAGGATCAAAACGAAGTACTACAAAAAATATCAGTTGAAGTGGTAAATGATTCAAACAGGATTTTTTTACTTACTTTGAGATGATTCAATAACACCTAAAAACATTTGACTAGGCGTTGATTAACTTACGACGAAAGGATAAGGATGAAATCTGACGAATTTAGCAGTATATATAAGATCTAAAATCGCTTATAGAAGATAGAAGTATTGTCATGCGTATGTTAGTATCAAGGTGTTACAAAACAAAAATCTCGAAAAAACGTGTTATCATTGATTATTATCTAGCTTATGATACTGTAAATTTCTTATCTGGCTTTAGATCTCATCATTATTTGTGACATAATTCGTGAAGCACGTGAATTTTCTCATACTTCAGTATACCTGTCTGAAATTTATCAACTTCTTTGAGTCTGATAAACGATAGTTTTCGTAAACTACTTGAAATTATATTGTTCTGCTAGAAAAAGCTAATTATTGATTTTTACAATAATCACACGCATGTTTCAAAGGAATTAATCTACGAGTATATGCATAAAAGTTATAAAGTGTATCTATTCTTTAAAACGTTTCATTATAAAATTCTTTTGATTTATTTTTTGAACTCGGAAAACATTTTCGAAATTTATATTCTTCATCATGTATTGAGAGTCAACCTTTGAAGTTGCCAGGATAGAAAATGTACTAAATTCTGTAAAGGATTTAAAATAGATTCTTTTTGTGTTTTAAAAATACCTCTTGCAAAATGGTAGTTCATGTATCAAAAAAAATTATTAAAAGCACTTTATATCCTAAATTTAAATTACAAACATGAAAGACTTGAAGCTTAAATAGCTCTTGCATATATTACGTGCTCTTTGTCCCTACCATAACTGCATAAGAGGCAGAATAATTACCATCATTTAATAGAAGCTCAGAATAATATATTACAACCTGAAGCGATTGGTAGGGCTGATTGTGGAAATATTTATATTTTTTATATTTTATATTAACATAATGCCTGTAATACTGCATATAGTTGCATAAGACATGTTCTGAAGACACTATTGAGAAAAATACTGTAGCATTCTAATCTTATTAGAAGAATATAAACGTTAATCGTTGTTGAAGTTGATTATTGTTTTACCAAAGATAAACTTAGTGCATATTCTTGAATATCAGGAGAAAGAGATGTAATCACGTCTGCATGCAACGAACTGTTTATTTATGTTAATTTGGTTTGAAACAACTTTTCCTTTTATCTTTTTTGTTTATTTAAAGATATGTTGTTAGGTGTTCTGTTAAAAACATTTAAATATATATATATAATAGATGAGAGCGGAAATCCAACTTAATTGAACTTTAAAACTGTAAAAAGAATTAATCCTACTCTTGCGTTCATTTGAAATGAAAATTGTTAGTGCTTTTAAATCACATTTTAAATCTAGTAATTTTTCAATTTATTGAAGTGTTTGCATAATCTGTAAATGTTACTTTGCTGCGTGTTTCAGCAATAGCAATTCACATTTGCAAATAGAAATACTGTTCTAATTCTTCACATTAATATGAATGAAAGTTGTTTGTTATTGAAATTTTATTAACAATTAACGTAATTTGAATTGAATTTATGGAAAGCTTAGGATTTAAGTTAAGAGATTAAGAATTAATATACTTTGTACTTTTTCAGGGGTCTCACTGTGGCCGAGTGGTTAGAACCGCTGAATACTGGGAGTTCAATCCTAAACGAATGGGCTGTTGCATGGTCGATTTTTGTGGTTTTCCTCACCTGTAATATGAATATGAGCTAGTTTCCATTAAATTCCCCCGTGAAGGCATCCGTGCTCTCATAGAGAGCGTTTATGTGCTTTGCCAAACTCGAAACACCTTACCTAACCTATCCGTACTCTTTCAGTAACAATATTAATGAATAAAAATTAAATTATTAACAACAGTAATAAAGCTACAGTTACCTGAAATGAGAAATATAAGAGAGTAAAATCCGAAATACGTAATAGTTTAATATTAACCCAAATTTGCATTAACTATACGTTTGCAGCATTGTAAACTAAGACTAGACTCTAAAACTTAACATTTTGCCTCCAAAACGTTTAACATACGAATAAACTTATACGCTTCTCTTTTTATCCTTAGATCTGCTACCCTTCGGTTTCTTCCGCCTGTTAATCTTTGATTAGGTATGCTATGACCTACGTATAAATTAGCCAAAAACTGTATTTTTCATTTTCAATGGCTATCTGGTTTAATTAGACATTTCTAAAAAACTTCTAAATCAAAATTCAGAACTGCTCATATAGGGTAATAACTCTGTAATGTTAATGAAAATACTCTTCAGATCCTATAGGCTGACAAGCGAGTCATCGGTTCGTTTCTTGAAATACGACAAATTCCTTCGAAGGTTTTAAATAAGTATTTTTATTAAACTTGAATTGAAACACATAAGGACCACTTATCAGTACAAACAAAACTCCGCGAGTAGCAGGCAGTAAAACAACATGACGCAACAATTTTAAAGTTTCCATTGTACAATTCGGAAGTATCAAATTTCTGTAGATCGAGAGTTTCTCTAGAACAACTGAGAAAGAAAGACAAGATAACAAAAGCTTTCCCGTCATTAAGTATTGTGCACATTAGTCTCTTCTTGTGTGTATAAATTACAACGAATGCCAGAATTTATATATGCTTTTCGATGAGCAATTTTTGAAAATAGTTATTACATTTTCTGATGGAATGTGCAGTTCAAGTCAAGAACAACTCGAAATGTCTTTAGATATTATAACTTTATAAGTTGAAATAGTCATCTTTCTTAAAAATTAAAACATATCTAAGTATCAATTAAAAGGAAAAAATGCTTTATAAATCACCAGATTACACTGTATTTGATTAAATGTGTTTCCGTTTTTTTAAACATTAAAGAACTCAATGTAAGTTAGTTGAAATAAAATCCAATTATAGTAATAAAACGCTTTTAAACAAGATTCAACTATCTCAGAAACGTTTACTTTGAATTGTATTTAATCTCTTAGAAAAGTAAATTAATTATTCGAAGGTAATTCAAGAACTGGTGCAAGATAGTTTCTACTTAAATCCTTTTTTTAGGAATACCGGAGGGTGCAGAGGTTAAAGTATTTTCTTAAAATGGCTGAGCGGAATATCCGATCTAATACTGAGTTTGAAACTTGCATCTTGAAATATTTTAAGCACATTTGAATGAAAAAGTATTCATAGTTTATAAATCATTGATAAGCCAAGCAAAGTCTTTAACTAAGAGCGGAATAAAGCTGTCAATTTGAAAATCCTCTTAGGCCTACCAGCGGCACAGCGATAAAGTCGCTGAACACTGGTAGCTCGGTCTTGGGTTCGAATGCCGCAAACTGGCTAGCTGCACGGTCGTTTTCAAGGTTGTCTCCATGTGTAACGTGTATACAAGCCTCTTTCCATTAGAAAGTCCTCTACGAAGGCATCCCTCTCCTTAAGCAGATAGCCCTCGAGGCTTTTCCGAAATCATATAAATCAAAGCAAACTAAAATTTCTCTTAAGTAGCTCTTGATTTAATATGCGAGGTATAAGAATCTTGGAATACATTCCCTGGGGTATTCTCAAAGGAAAATGGGACACAGTTCTTTTTGTCAACGTAGGTAATAAGTACACCTGACGAACCTATCAATGATCATAACCTCTACTATTTCAGTATTCAGGATGGTATCTCTATGTCATGAAATATAAAATTTTACTTGTTACGATATATATACTGAATACATTGATACAATATATATATACTGAATTGAAATAAGTAAAGGCAATAAAAATATAACGAACACTAAAATGACACTAAAAATATGCTTAAAAATTAATCTGTTTTTAAAATTTATAACTTTCACTTTCGAAAATAAAAATATGCAAAAAGTGTAAATTTACAAAGATTATCTCTTTGAATGCAACAAAATCCAATCATTAAAAGAATGATTACTGAAGTTCAGTCTTCGATGATTATGCTGGTCATGAAACGCAAACCTGAGATAAAAATATGCACTAATGATGTCAAGCAGTTGTTTATTTTTAATCTCACTAAAGACAATTCAGAATGGAGAAAGTGAATTAGCATGCAATTTGGGCATTATTCGTCATTGAGAGATCAAACATCACAGGCTAAATGCAGATAAAGACAATAATGCAGTCAGCAGAACATTTTATCTGCCAAATGTTTTCTTATGCGAAATTCAGTCATCGTGTGATAATATAAGCCTGAATAAATCAAATAAAAATGAATTCAACAGATTTTTTATTAACTATGAATAAACGTTTAGTTTAATGTTATTTCATTACGACTACAGATGATCTAAAATTTTTGAATATTTGTTATTATAATAATAAGTTATATTCAAAATAAAACATTGCTGTTCTTACGGTTGTTATTTGCGACAAAATGATTTTAAAGCAAATAACGTAGACTTGTTATTCTATAAAATAGTATTAATGATTGCAGAAATATATATAATACGAAGTCGGGTGAAATTTTTATCGCGATTTTTACTATTATAAAAAATGGTTTTTTTTAATTCATTCAATTAATATTTTCAATACTGGATAATTAAATATAACAAATAGTAAGTGATTAAAGCATAAAACGTTTACGAAACGCTAAACCTTAAAAAACAAAAGCCAAGCAAAAAGATATAACGGAAGAATTCGTAAAATATAATATCTGTATTCACCAAAATATTAAAAATTTAATCAACAAAGTATTTTCGTACTAACCTCCTCTAATCAAATTTAAATTGAGTAAAATCAGCTCTTTACGTCAAAATACAATGGAACTTTTTTCATACCGAACATCTCCTATAGGCAGTTCTCGCTAATAATGACCAGTATTTCATCTGAGTATGTTAGTAAATATCAGTACTGAACATCAAAATCAATCATTTCCTTTAAGGGAATCTTGAAGAAGAGCAAAATCATTAGAACTTTAGAAAGATTTCCTTTTAACGTTTTGGAAGGGATTCCCTTATTTAAATTTATACTTTAAGCTCCACCCAAATGGTATAGTGATTAGAGGAACCGACTACGATACCCCTATACCGTCTTTGCAGCACTATACCGTCTGGACACGATACCAAAGCACTCGAGTTCAAATCCCGGAGAAGGCATGGTTGTAACTGTCCGTTTCTTCATAGGATTTAGGATTTAGGAACGGGGAAGACGGGTACCACACCTTTACCATTTGGTTAATTGGTTTAGCGCCGTCTCCCCACTACGTGATCCCAGCCGTTTATTGATATTAGCAAACAAATACATAATTTGAAATGAATACAAAATTTAGAATGATACATAATTGAAATGAATACATAATTTGAAATGAATACATAATTTGGAATGATACATAGTTTGGGGGGGGGAATTTGAAGCATAATGTATAAAATAGCATAATTATAAACGTACAGAATTTTGAAAATACAAAATTTAAAACATACTAATGACATAAATCTTAAATATGTGCGGGAATTTTGACATAATATGCGACGAAAAGAATAGTAGTGATGAAGAGTATTTGTAGTTCCAACAAAAGTCTATAGTTCAAAGTCTATATTCAAATTCACAGTTCAAAGTCT